TCACAACAAATGATCATATATGAGTAGGCGTTCCCTCAATGATTTCTTTCCACAAGCTTTGACTTTTAGTCTTTGAACCAAGACAACATTTGGAACTTCTAAAGTCAGATGTATGACTTTCTTCATAGTCCAAGTTCATGGGTAAGTGATCTGGTGACCTTACTGGACTCCAGTCAAAGGTCACATGGGAGGGACCACCTTTTGCCTGGGATGGAGAGACTATTTGTGCTGCAATTTTCTTAAAGGTCTTCATCTCCAGAGTGACTTCGGGGCAGTAGAGTTAAGCCTTCACTAAGTGGCTTATTTTCTTTGACTCATGGACAAGTGTCTACACACAAGTACTCCTGGGAGCTCAGAACTATGGACAGGAAAGGCACTAACGTTTGGCTCAACACAGAGCAGCTTTGAAGACTCTGCCCATCGATAACTTCATGTCATCTTGAACTAACTGTGAGGAATAAGAATCCTTATTTTGCTCAATTAACAGAGAGAGGGGGAGGCGAGAGATTTGAACAGCCCGTGACTTCATGGTGCCAGAACTCAGAACTCAGTACCCTTGATTCCAAAGCTCATTCCCTAGAAACATGGGGCCTTCAACAACTCACTCAGCAACTCTCTGGCAAAGATTTAAAGAGACATCAAATGCCCTGATGTTCATTTTGTCCAGATTTTTTTTTTTAAGGGAGAACCTAGAAACTCAATAGCCACACGTGCTATTGCCCATATTCCGATAAGCCTGGCGCAGCTCTGTCGTAATGACATGCGAGTTCAAAGAAAGGCACTTCCTCCCTTCACAGTATCTTGACTGTGCAGTTTTAGAACCACATAAGGAAACACAAAATAAACAAACCAAAAAAAAAAAATGTGAACAGAGAGCTGAAGAAATAGATGCTGCCAGGAGGGAAGAATTCAACTGACCTCCCTCCTCTCCCCATCCCACCCCCCCCCCCCCAAAAAAAATCTGGGCCATCTCAAGCAAAGTTGGCCACTGGCTGAGCCTCTTAAAAGCTTAAAAGTCATCCCAGGCCACAGTTAAAGAGAGAGTTTCAACAAAACAAAAACAAATGTGATCTTCAAAGTCTTAAATGTCAACTTGAAGGATAACTTAGAAGCTCCGGGATGGGGCAAGAGGCCCTGAAGCTGCTCGCAAGCAACATCAGATGCTCCTGTCCCTCTTCAGAGTCATCTTGCCCAGCCTCCCACCCACACCCACGGGAGATGTCCATAAGGGTCAAGGCTCCCATCTTTGACAGCCCATTGGATTTCCCCCTTAGTCTGATCTGAGCACCTTCCACAAGCAATGGCTACCTACGCAACCTCTGCCCTCAGACTTGTCCTTCATGACACAATTAGTTCCTGATCCCCGCCCTCACCCCCCCCAACCACACACACACACATACAGGAACCACCTTGACTTTCTCCTCCCCACACCTTCACACCCATGCTGCTCTGCTGCCTTTTGTCCTCAGGATTGGGTAACTCAAGTTCTAGAAGGGTCTTATAGAGGAGATGCCTGGGCCCTACTTTCACCCCAGGGATAACTGACTAGGCATACTTATGGATGATCCTTACTGGTCTCTCTTTCTAGAGAGAGGAATATAAGAGTGATCTGAGCCCCAGAAACTCTATTTGTTCACCTGTAATGATGGAAAACATGAGGCCAGACTGGAAGGGGAAGGAAATGCCACAGGCATGATGGCTGGAAATAGAAAGGTGAAAGTACAACGTTCCTTTTAACTAGGTCAGTGAATCACACGTGTAAGCCTACTTGAGAGGCAGAGCTCAAAGAGGATCACAGTTCAAGGCCCAGCTCAAAGCTAAACGTTTACAACCCGTCCCCCTCTTCCATCTCAACCAAAACAAGCTAGAACCCAGTGGCAATTGACTTTCACCCTAGTTAGGTGAGAGGTGTAAATGGGAAGATCACAGTCCAGGCGGTCCTTGGCCAAAGAAAAAACGTGAGACCTTTTCACAAAAAGAACCCAAGCATAAAAGGACTAGGGGCGTGTCTCAACATGGTAGAGCAAGTGCAAGGCCTTGGGTTCATTTCAGTAAAGAAGATTCTCTGTAGCGAGGGTCTACATCATCCCCAGCTCTAGGCCTGGGTCTATGGTAGGTAAAATAACTCCTAGAGCAGACCCAGGAAAAGCAGGATTCTACTGAGCCTTGCTGGAGCAACTGGGCACATTGAGAGTTGAAAGCCTTGTTCTGACTCTCAGCATCCACTAAGGATGAGATGTTGGGATGAGAATATTTCCAGAAGTCTTTCTCTAATGGGTATGGGTCCCTTCCCCCACCTATGAAGTCTTTCTTCTTTTTTTCTTTCTTTCTTTCTTTTCCTTCCTTCCTTCCTTCCATCATTTTTTCCCTTTTTATTTGCCAGTCCTTGATTTAAACTCAAGGCCTAGGCTCTGTCCTAGAAGCTTTGTTGCTCAAGGCTAGCACTCTACCAGTTTGGGCTCTATAGCACCACTTCTGGCTTTTTGCTGGTTAACGAGATTAGAATCTCACAGACTTGCCTGTCTAGACTGGCTTCGAACTGCAATCCTCAGATCTCCGCCTCCTGAGTAGCTAGGATTGCAGGTGTGAGCCACCAGGGCGCTTGGTATAGCCTATTTTTAAATAACGGAAATGAGGGAGAACAGTGAAATGTGTTTTTCAATTGGCTCCACAAAAATCCAAGAAGAAAGCCTCCACTTGCTTTCTTTATTCTAAGTCTTTCTTACTCTTCATTCAGTATCCTCTGCCCTCGTTCCCTCGGCGTTCATTCAACAGTGTTTGAGGTAGGGACTAGGGAGAGAGGAAGTTCAAGGAGCATGCTGGCCTTCAAAAGGTAAAAGCATCTTGCTTCCCACACCTCCTTTGGGACCTGCTCTCCCAGCCTCTACTTTACTGAGTGCTAACATCCAAGAGAATTTCCTCTCCTCTTTTTGTCCTGATGGGGGCACAAGTATTCCCTGAGCATCCAAGGATGGGAAAGAAAACTTCTGAAAACTCAGGAGTCTGAAGTCAGTATCCATGACAAGAATAGCACAGTTGTGTGTGTGTGTGTGTGTGTGTGTGTGTGTGTGTGTAAGTGGGAGGTGGGATAAAATTCCCAGCCCAGATGAAGAAATGGTCCATTTATGTTTCCATGCTCCAGGCCATCACCACAGCCCCGTGTGTGTGTCAACATGCGTGTTCATCTCCTGGGTACTGAGCCACCCCTGTTTGCACGCACTCCTGAGCACCTTGCCTACTTCCTTACACTGCAGAGGGCAACTTCAGCCTGAAGTTAAATAAACACTTTTTCTGACTTTGCTGCCTGCTCAGTTTTGGTTTTTTTAATGCCACTTCCCTGGGGGTCAATTTGTATAATTTCTCTTTTAAAAAAAAAATCCTTCCCAAATCTCAACTTCCTGTGGGTCTGTTTTTATTTCCAGATTTCCTTCCTGTCCCCTTCATTCTCACATTCCCCCCCACCACACACCCACACACACACACACACACACACACACACACACACACACCACTACCACCACCAAAGGACGTGGGAGAGTCCAGTAATATTCCTCCTACCCAAACATCATAGTCTGCCTTTATTGCAAAATGCAAAACCAGAGACCTGCAGAGAGAAAAGCTATGAATCCAGGCTCTGTCCCTGGTTTGAGGATCCCAGTTACAGATAAGGTAGGGCTGTGCCCAGGTCTGCTGGGTCCAGAGCCTTGTGGGGTCCCTGCAGCCCCCAACCCCTTGCCTCCCTGCCCCTAAACTACAGATACAATCCTAAGCATTCCCATCCTGCCTGGGGGGGGGGGGGGGGGAGAGAAACAGGAAAATCTGAAAATCTGAGAAACCCATGCCATACTCCAAAAGCAGAGAACATCAAACTTGAAACTCTTCAAAGACACAAAATTTCTTTTGTTCTGAAGTGTAGCTTCTAGGAAAACCTGCAGGGACTCTGCCCTGCAGAGGTGTGATTTTTTTTTTTCCTTCTTCTTCTTCCTTCCCTTTCTCCCAGAAACTTTCCCAACTCCTAACTTAACTGTGGCGAAGTGGCCAACACAGAGAGAAAAGAGTTAAATGGAGCCCAGACCTCAGCAATCTGTGTTCAATTTTGATAAAAATCTCCCTCACTCTCCTCCACTGCCCCCCTTCCTCCGACCCACAGCTCAGACACATGTCTTTATGTTCGAAGTTTGCATCTTGTTTGGGGCACCTCACGCAGGCATTCACAGAGAACCTGGTTCTCACCCTACCCTGTGGACATGTACAAAAACATCCAGCCCCCCAGAGGCAGGGCTGGACACAGGGCCCCATCTGGGCCCCCCTCCCCTTCACCCCTTCTCCCTCCTCACAATTACCTGAAACCATACCACATCCTTCCCAGGCTAAGTCAGAATTTCTTAGCTGGGGACGTCGGGTTATATCCTGGCCACAGATTTGGGGAGTCCCAGAGTGGGGGGCACCAGGTCCTTAGTGGGGACCCCCCTCCCCAGAACAAGAACCCAGGGCCCTGCTGCTGTGCTCTCGTTGGCTGGAGAGGGCAGGGCCCAGGCTGCAAGGGAGAGCTGGGGGGGGGGGGGGGGCGGCGAAGATTTCACTATCCCTCCATGCACCCACCCATCCCAAGTGGAAGTCACCAGTACAACCACGAAAAGCCACCACCCCGAAAGGTGTCAACCTGTGCGCCCATCTGCCACCAGAAGTCCCATGCCAAAACCACGAAACTTTTTCTTTAAAGTTTGCCAAAGACATCCTCCGGAGGACAGTCCGGATGGGGACAGAACAGGAGGCGTACGCGCGTGAGCACACACACACACCCATGCAACCACACGCACGCACACACAACCCCAACCCCCCCCCCCACACACACACCCCAGTCCACTGCATGCAAACGCTGCAGAAAGCAAACAACCAGCCCACCAAGTGCGCCTTCTTCCAAGTCCCCGGAGGCGGGGATCTTGAGAAAGTGAAGGAAGGGACAGGAAAGTGTGGCGGTGCCACCCCGCTGCACCTACCCGGAGGCCCCCATGGCCGTGGCGCGGGCCCCTTGCAGCCCCGGCTCCCCGGCGCGCCCCCAGCTCGGGCTCCTGCGCGCGGCTGCGGCGCACGGCGCAGTCCGGCCCTCGCTGGAGCTCCGGCGGCCCAGGCTGCTCCCCTCCCCGCCGCCCGCCCCGCTCTGACGTCAGACGTCTTGGAGCATGGAGTTGGGGAGGGCGGGGGCGGGGGGGGGGGGTAGAGAAGAGTGTATTTATGGCTAGGAAAACTCTGAGTTTTTCCCCTAGGTGCCGTTTGGATGGCAGCTCCTGGGGATTTGTAATTTTCACACTTCACGGACAGAACCCAGAGAGGAGGGAGGGAGGGCCAGGCCCGGAGCAGGCAGGCAGGGGAGGGCGCACAAAGAGGGGAGTTGTTCCCTCCCCCCCCACACACACACACACTCCATCCTTCCCTCACCACCCCCCTCTCCACCTGGCAGGGAGCCTTCTTGGGGCTCCCTCTGTTTTGGAAACATGGTTGGGTCAAAGAGGCAGTGAGCCACCTGGGCCAGGGGCTTTCACCTCTGCTAGTCCTTTGGGCAGGAAGCTGAAGGCCTGGTGGAGGGCCAGCCCAGTGGGTGAGCGTCCAGGGCTGGGGGGGGCCTGTCCCTCAGCCCAGTGCCCTTCCCTGGACCAAGTTCCCCTGGCAAGACAGGACAGTGGACAGGCAAAACAGAGCAGCGGAATTGGAAGCCTGACTCCACACCCTAACAACTTTTCCATTTCTTCTTTGGGAGTGTGTGTATTACCCAAAAAAAAAAGGTTTATTTTTATTAAATTATGTTCCACACTCCCTGCCTCTGTGTAGCTTTTCCAACTCACCATCAGTCAATTTATCTTACTTCCTTGCTTATAGACATAGTTTGAACCATTGACAATAGCTCTTATTCAGACTTTTTTATAAGTTGCATTTAACTTTTTTTTAAAAAATGTGATTGTGATCCATTTCCTTGACTGGACTGGAAATTGCCTCCATCAAGAGCAACTGTCTCTGTAATTGGCAATACTCTAGGTGAAAATTTGATCTTTTTCTAATTTCCCTATGCCCAGGCAAAGAGGAACTCCTTTCCAAACACCATTTTCCTCTTGGTTTCCATCCCTCTTTTCCAACATTTTGTCTGTTCTGTATTGCCCAGAATATAGCAAGTATTCAGTAAAAGACATCTGTTATTATTTTTATTATCATTATTATTATTATGGCTATTGCAAAGAAAAGGGATGAAAAGTTACTAAGGCATAAGAAAGTGTCATGCCAGACTCACTTTTCATATTGGTGTCCTGTCCTACACAGCTGCTCGTTTGGACCGTTCACAGTCAAAGGAAATGTAGGAATTGGTAGAAATTAGCCACAGCAGGGCAAGTGGAAATGATGTGAGGCCTCGTGGGAAAGGAAACCTTCATTGCTTTTAAGAGGCTGTGTGTTTGTCAGAACTGGAATGCAAGACTGACACACACATACTGAGTAACTTTATCCCTGGCAAAGTGAGAGACAGGACAGAATTCAAAATGGAAAGGTGCAATGCAGCCAGAGACAGAGATAACAGGTAGGGAGCGTGGTAAGAACCAGAGGAAGAAGGGAAGCAGAAGAGCAGCAGAACCCCCAGGCTTGAGCAGGGGAGGGGTTTCCCAGGTGATCTTCAGGCTCCATTGGGATGTGGAGTAAGGGAATTTAGTCAGCCATCTGTGTCTCAGTACTATGCTGTTGAGGCTGATGAGTAGAACAGTCCGTGAAGAGAGGGGACCCACTCCAAGGTCATCTCCACACCCCCTTCTGCAACCCCACCATTGTGAAAGCTCCGGTGTAAACGAGGGTCTCTCCTACTCCCAACACCCCCAGGGAGGGGCTTTCAACCTCCTTCACCTGCCAATTCTAGAAGGTGCTTCAGGGTTCTGTGAAACGTGCCATTCATCTGGAACAGCATAGCCCCCTGGTGCAGAGGCCTCCTATATGTCAGCAAGTGTGGACCAGCTCCTAAAGCCCACCATGGACTTCCAAAGCGGAAGTGATGAGAAGGAGGTTCAAGGATGCCCCCTTCCTGCTGGCTCTCTGGGGATGGAGCTCCGGGTCTGCACCACCTTGAGCTCAGGGAGGAATGAGAGTGTGGTGTCTATGTAACACGAGGCTCTCCGTGACTATCAAACACTTTCTCCGGAAGCTGAAGAGAAGTCACATGTTCCCATCAGAGACCTCAGTAAATCCCCAGCCCAACCCCCAACTGCCAGGTAGATCAGGCTTCACGTTTGTCATGATCAGGCCCCATGAGTCACCTGGGGTAGACATCGGTGGCCAGATGTTTGGTCAATTGTTTGAATGTGTCCGTGAAGATGATTTCTGGAGATTATCATTGAAATTGCTGGGCTTTGAAGAAAGTAGATTGCCCTCTACAAGGTAGGTGGCTTCGAGCAATCAATGGAAGGTGTTGGTATAACAATGAAGACTGGATTCTCCAACACGCTTCCTGCCACGAAAAAAATACACACACACACACACACACACACACACACACACATACAAGGAAAGAGATAATCCTGCTAGCAGACAGCCTTTGAATTCAAATTGCAACTCTTTCCTGGGTCTTGGGCCGAACTCGGCTGACCCACAGTTGCATGGAAAACATGAGCTAATTCTTTAAAAATCTCTCCCTCTCTCCCCCTTCTTCCTCTTCCTTTTCCTCTCCTTCTTCCCCTCCCCTTCCCTCCACCTCTCCTTTACTTTTCCTTCTCTCTCTCCCCCTTTCTCCTCCTCTCCCTCTCTCTCTCCCTCTTCTTCCCCCCACCTCCTCTCCCTCTCATGATCTCTCTCTTCTCACTCTCTCCCCATGTCCCATTAGATCTGTTTCTCTAGAAATCCCTGATATGAGCCATGATATGGGAGAGCCAATGGTTTTTGTCAGTAACACAGGTTAGAGACCATTCCTTACTCCATCCCAAAGGATTATTACAAAGGTTAAGGAAAGTAAAATGTCCTGAAAGCTCTCTACCTTATCTAGGTAAGGTGATCCACACTCATAATGCCAGCTACTCCAGAAATTGAGGCAGGAAGGTCATGTGTTTGAAGCCAAGCTTGGATACATATCAAGTTCCTATTGAAACAAAGAAGAAAGAGAAAGGTGGGGGAGGAAAAGAAGAGAAAGGAAGGAGGAAGGAAGGAAGGAGGAAGGAAGGAAGGAAGGAAGGGAAGAAAGGGAAGGAAGGAAGGAAGGAAGGAAGGAAGGAAGGAAGGAAGGAAGGAAGGAAGGAAGGAAGGGAAGGAAGGAAGGAAGGAAGGGAGGGAGGAGGGAGGGAGGAGGGAGGGAGGGAGGTAGGGAGTAAAAGGAGAGCAGAGGGGAGGAGAAGGGAAATACAAAAAGTGGGGGAAAGGGAAATGACAGGCTCCAACTCAACCTCTTCAAAGACTGAGGTGATAGAGAATCACATAGGCCATTGAGCCTGGCTTATTCCAAGGCTTGGGCTGTAGAAACCAACCTGCTGACCTCTAGGCTCTGCTTTGGGAGGTGATGAATTCTGTTATCAACTACCAATGCCTAGAAGGCAGAAGAAGCCCATTCCACAAGGAACTCAGTCACCTCTCGCCTCAGGAGTTCTGATCATGGGCATGACTGTGCTCTGATCCTGCTTCTGTCCCTGACAAGGAGGAACCTGATTGGCATTGTTTAGGACACAACTTCTGGGCTCCTGTGTTCTAACAGTAACTTCCAAGGATGTAACTAAAGGGAGAAGAAGCCCACAACTCTCCTAGCTTCTTCCTATCATTAGGACGTGAATTAGGGATGTCGCTGAAGCTGGATGGTATTTTAGGCTCTCTTCTGCTTGTGGTATAGTAGAAAGGCCTCCAAAGATGATGTCTGAACAGCATGATTTCTAATCTCAGCTCTGATTCTTCCATCTACGCATGTCATATAGCTCTTCTGCACAATACGGATTATGAGGAGATCGGTCCCACGGTGCTGTCGTGTGAACTATCTTAGGAAACATTTGTACTTTGCGCATGTCCACCCTCCTTCATGCGTCTTGCTCTTTGCCCTCTCTCCCTTCTCCTCCTCTGTCCCACCCCTAACGCGCATCACTCTTCTGCTAGTGAGACACCAAGAATGCACTTCACATTAACATTTAATTCTCCAGGCTTCTGGCACCCGGATCTCTGCAAACCTCTTTGCCCAGAGTTAAGAAAAATCTCTCCTGGCTCAGACATGACCACACCAAATAGGCAGCGATTGGAAAATTGCCCCTTTAAAGGCAGGCTCCCTCTGAGACCAGGGCCTGCATTTTTGAGACGCCTTCTCAGGTTGTTTGCAATAGCTTGGAGGGTCAGTCCCGCTGCTTGCCTACGTCAAAACCCTAAGTGTTTAACCACAAGACACACAATCCTGGGACATGGTGGCGGCAGCCGCCCTCCACCTCCACCCCCTCCGTGAGGCCCGTGGCCGCGTGGGTGTGCCTAATCTGGAATGTGCCCCCTCAGAGGCAAACTTCAGCCCAGTAAACCACACCTGGCCAGATGTGGGATGGGATATCACACAGTGAGCAGAGTGCGTGAGGGGGCAGAATGGAGGTAGAATCCTTGCTTTGACATCCCCCCAAACCATCCCCAAGGTCCCCAGGCTGGGGAAGGCCATCCCCATGAGTAGCCAGAGGTGCTCCTACTACTTCTGGAACCAAGGTTTCACTCCCTCCCAGCCACATACAAACTTAATAAATTACGTCCTCATTGACATATAATGCAGACAGCCAAGTACTCTAGTCAGTTTCGGATATACATATACTTGTCCAACCCTGGTGGCTTATGCCTGTAATCCTAGATACTCAAGAGGCTGAGATCTGAGAATGGTTCAAAGCCAGCCTGGGAAGTCCATGTGACTCTTAGCTCCAGTTAATCACCAGAAAACCAGAAGTGGCACTGTGGCTCAAAGTGGTAGAGCACTAGCCTGGAGGGAAAAAGCTCCTGGACAGTGCCCAGACCATGAGTACAAGCCCCATGACCAACAACAAAAATAAAGATAGAAAGAAAGAAAGAAAGAAAGAAAGAAAGAAAGAAAGAAAGAAAGAAAGAAA